AATTCATTGGCGGCAAAGTAACAAGATTCCTCGAAGACCACAAGATAAAAAGGATATTGTCGACGCCATACCACCCCAGTGGGAACGGGCAGGCCGAATCAACGAATAGAACTATCATTCAAAACTTAAAGAAGAGGTTGAACGATGCTAAAGGGAGATGGAGAGAAATCCTACCCGAAGTCCTTTGGGCATATCGGACAACATCAAAATCCAGTACGTGGGCGACCCCGTTCTCCTTAGTATATGGATCCGAAGCATTAATACCAGTCGAGTTTGGTGAACCTAGTGCCAGATTTCGATTCTCGATGGAAGAATCAAATAACGAGGCTATGAACACAAGCCTCGAACTATCGGACGAAAGGCAAGAAACTGCCCTTATCCGAATGGCTGCCCAAAAGTAACGAATCGAAAGGTATTGTAACCGAAGAACCAAGCTCCGCCATTTCAAGCCTGGGGACTTAGTGTTAAGAAAAATTACCATCAATACCCGGAATCCAAATGAAGGGAAGCTAGGACCGAATTGGGAAAGACCATATCAGGTACTCGAGGACATCGGAAAGGGATCGTACAAGATTGGCGTTATAAGCGGCAAACAGTTATCAAGCAACTGGAATGTATCACATCTGAAACTGTACTACTGTTAAGGTACAACCTTTCCATATTCGTTTACATCTCGAAACTGACCCCTGCAGAAGTCCGAACAGGGGACGGATCTCTCATCAGAAAGCACGCGTTGTACTCTTTTTTCCTTAAGACCGGTTTTTATCCCAAATGGGTTTTTCGGCAAGGTTTTTAATGAGGCAACCACTGGTCATGCAGCACTTATGATAATATCCGAGGCCCCGTAAGAGAGTTGCTTCACAGCAACATGGTCCCGATAGGAAAACTGTAAAGAGCCAAATGATCGAAGCGAGCCATGCTCGTATAAGTTAGCCCGAACCCAGGCGTGTAATAACATGTGAAGAATTAAGATATAATGCGACCATTAAGCCTATGGGCTATATATTTTTTATCTCAAGTTCGAGCAAAAACTGTTTCGACCAAATAAGCCTACGGGCTATTTCTTATTTTGAGTTCGAGCAAATACTCACTCAACCAAATAGCCTACGAGCTGCATTAATTCGAGTTTGAATCATTCACTCGATCAAGGCTACGGGCTATTTTTTAATTCGAGTTCGAGCAAACACTCACTCGACCAAATAGCCTACGGGCTGCATTAATTCGAGTTCGAATCATTCACTCGATCAAGCCTACAGGCTATTTTTTATCTCGAGTTCGAGCAAAAACTCACTCGACCAAATAGCCTACGGGCTGCATTAATTCGAGTTCGAATCATTCACTTGACCAAGCCTACGGTCTACATTAATTTGAGCACAAGCAAACACTCGCTCGACCGTCATGCCCACGGGCTATATTCTCTTCAAAATTGTATCGTTGACAATTAAATCGAGCACAAGAAGACACTCGCTTGGTTGAAGAGACTGCGAGATTCGAGTTTGATTAATTGGTTTAAAACATTATGGAAATATTCATGAGGCAAATCACAACAACCTAGGAAATAGAATCAAAAGCAAGTCGGTAAGAGAAGAGGCCTATACACAAAATTTATCTGCATAGGTGGCTACAAAAAAAATAAAAAAAATAAAATTAAACGGGAGCGGTCTTTTCTTTATCAGATTCCCCCCGTTCTCGGATCCACTTTTGCTCCCATCATCGTCATCATCATCATCGGAAACTAGAGCTTCGGCATCACCCTCGAGTTTTTTTGCCCTTTTTATCTCTTCCGTGAGATCGAAGCCGCGAGCATGAATCTCCTCGAGGGTTTCTCTCCTGGATCGGTACTTAGCAAGTTCGGCAACCCAATGCGCCCGACTATCGGCAGATTCGGCTGCCTCTCTTTCCNATCAGCCTCGAGTTCTTTTGCCCTTTTTATCTCTTCCGTGAGATCGAAGCCGCGAGCATGAATCTCCTCGAGGGTTTCTCTCCTGGATCGGTACTTAGCAAGTTCGGCAACCCAATGCGCCCGACTATCGGCAGATTCGGCTGCCTCTCTTTCCTGAACTTGGGCAGCTTCAGCATCAGCCCGATAGACGGCCACGAGCTCATCCGCATAAGTCTTTGCCTTTTCAGCATCGGATTCGGCCTTGGCGAGTACTGAGGCCAACCGAGCCTCAAGCTCCTCGATTTTCTTTGCTTGAACCAGGTTTTTCTCCTTCACTTTCTGAAGTTGGGTTTCGGACGACGACAACTGGGCTCGAGCGGTCTCTTTTTCTGCAGCAAAGCGGTCCATACCTTCTTTCCACCGCAAGGATTCCATCCTTATAACATCGACCTCCTCATGCAACCTCCCTATCATCTCGATTTTTTGCTTCAGCTGTGAGACCGAAATGTTAGCTACCGTTCCGGTATCGAACCCATAGGTTTTCAAAAGCATCATTACCTGCTCAGACAAATCATTCTGGTCTTGATAAGCCTTGGAAAGCTCGGCCCGGAGATCTTTTATTTCCTCCTCTCTCTGTCCTAAGGAAAGTTTGAGAGAGTTCCTCTCATCGATAGTGCGTTTCAGGTCGGCCGCGTATCGATGCAACTCATTCTGGGAATGAGAACATTGTTCTCGATGGACTGCCGCAGCCTACGAAGAAATAAGGAGCGAAGTTAACGAAAGAAGAACATAAAGGCAATACCAACAAAAAGGTTTTCAAAAGACTCACTTGGTCCAAAGCCTACCGCAAACCGTGAAAAAGATCTGATTCATCACCGGCATCGGCAACGTCCTCGATACTAGTAAACAGGTCATGAAACGGAACCTCTTCATCGTGAGGCCTATCTAGATTAAGGGCCCCCAGAGCTTGAGCTTCTCGAATCACCCCTGCAGAAAAAGCGGGAAAGAAAGGCGAGTCCTCGATCGCGNCTCACACCGGCCAGGGACCGATGAACCTTTATCAACTTTAAAATCTGAAGTAAGGACACACGCCCCGGGGACACACTCCTCTGGCCGTGGTTCCATCGGTGTCTCATCGGCGACACACTGTGAAGATGAAGCTTTCTCTTTCTGAGGAACTGTTTGCGATGTTTTCGCCATTTTTGAATTCAAAAATAAGGAGCAGAAGGAGGTGATAGAGATTTGGTAGAATTGAGGGATCCTTTTAGAAAGAAATCACAGCTTTTTGTAAGAAGAGATTGAGAATTTTAGAAGATTGAAGATGTAAAATTGGTAAAAGATAAAGGTGAGAGTAAATTATAGGTTCAAAGCGACGGCGGTTCATTATCAGCAGGGGCCGACCACCGCCTGATATGCATTAAATGCCTTGGGAGACTAAACCGACAGGACAACTATCATGTGCGTCATGGTCGAACCTGATGGAATCAACAAAATATAATCCAATCGAGCTGTTGAAAATCATATCGTTTCTCGCCGTATTTATTTCTGAGAAACGAGGGGACTATCTGTATACGGTCGAAATGGATTTGGCATGTCCGGTACGGTTCGAAGGATGATATATCGAAGTAAGATATCCGAAGGAGGGGGGGCACGAACTAATCTAGAGCCTGGGAAGGCCGGTCCGTGTTGAGATCGATATCATAATCAAACTCGAACAAGAATCGAACCATCGCGCGGGTAGATCTATCATGCAGATAATCCAAAAACTAACCTACATCGACCAGGAATCCGTTCGAGGTCTTGAACCGGGATCGAGCTCGAGTCAAGATCACAAGTTCGAGCCGAAATCAAGCTCGAACCAAAATCGAGGGTTCTAAGCAAGATCGGGCTCGCAGACAAAAGCCGTTGTAATCCCACTAGAGGGAATCTTGGCAGAAATTATGGAAAAGCTGATTTATCATGAGTTTCCCACTGAATGTTTATTTTATTATGCTTGGAGCCAAACCTCTTCACTATAAAAGGACTTGTTTATCATTCTTGTAAGGATCTATTGGAGGACTTACACTATCAAAAATTGTATTATCCCCTCTACAAGCAAGAGTGATCTTTCTAGTTTCTTAGATTGATTCTATTTTTGTTAAATCCTAAATTTCACTGTTCATAATTGATTGGCCTAGATTACGTTTTCTCCAATCTATATTCATACTTTTATTTATCCTAGCATTTTGTATTAAGTTGTACCACGTATCTTCGGAACTGTGCATAAATTCAACTCTATCCCTTTTTTCGGGTAAACAGTTATATTAACGTATACATGTCAAAAATTCTTCTTTTTTCTAATGAAAAAAATATCTCAGGGTGTTCCCCGGCGGAACTACGAAATGCGATATATTAGTTGTCCTTATTTTTGCATGTGTTAGAAAAAACAGACATCTTTTATTTTATATACACTGTAATTGACATTTTACCCTTCCGACTCTTTTCTTTTGCATTTTTTACCCATTTTATTACTAAACGTCTAATCATTAAATTAATCTCTCGATTGCGCAAGATTCTTCATTGAAAACTATCCAAAACATCAAATTGATTCATCTATTGCAAGTGAGTTACCCCAAAAACACCATAAACAACAACAATAACAAATCCAGTGCAATCCCACACGTGAGGTATAGGGAGGGTATTGTGTACGCAAATCTTACCCAAAAATACCATACTTATTCACATATTCAATCCGCAAATACTAACATAACTGCAAATTTTAAGAACACCATAATTATTCACATTTTCAGTCAGCAAATGTTGACATAATTGCAAATTTTAAGATCAAGTACAATTGATGATTATGAGTACAATGGAAGCCCCCCATTATCTGGTGACAATGAGTTCAATATACGTGTATACAGGTAAAATCGGGCCTATGGAATGCCCCAGTTTCCGATAAGGTAAATCAAGCAAGAGATGTGATGATAAGGAGCCGGAATCGAGGCAAGGGTCTCATCGAGACAGGGTCCGGGGGCACGACGCTCGCCTTCGGGAATATCGGGGTCATGACCCCGGGATCGGTCCAAATCCCAAAAAACTTCAGAGAGCATTATCGGGCAACCGAACACGATTAACAGATAGTCGTGATATCCGTGACCAGTCGGACATCATGGCGTAGATCTCGGCACGTACCGGCGAAAATCCGGTGATTAGTTAAACGGAAGGTTTTTTTAACCTTTTATGGAATTGTACCTAGAGTAGGACTCCCCTACTATATAAAGAGGGGTCTGATTGTTTATTGAACATATTGTAACACGCATACCAAGAAAATATACTATTCTTTTTCTGTTATTAAAAGTTCTTACACTTGTTGATCAGTGTTCCATTGCTATAAGTCTGGGATTGAGGACGGATATCTCATTGAAGCTGCCGTCGAGTTCAGAATCATCCATTTTCCCTTGTTTTCGAGTGGTTTGACAATTTATTACATCTTTATCTGTTCAATCTAGCAATATCTACCTTTTGTATTGAATTAATCCACGTATCCTTAAAATCACTAAAAATTTAATTGTTATCCGTTTTTTAGGGTAAACAGTTTGGCGCTCATCGTGGGGCTAAAGATAATAGTAGCAATTTGATACAAATCTCCGTAACACACTCTATTTTACACTTGTTCTTTTAAGTGTTTTTAATTTCATGCCAAAGTTTAAAATGTCAAACTCCCAATCTACTCCTCTGAATATGGATGCTGAGTCTGGCCACCATGGCGAGAACAACAATATGGCACTCAGTAATGAGGTGCCCCATGTCAACCCCAACGGAGTTCCAGCCGCGGACCTGATCGACGCTAACTCACATGTGGCCATCAATGCGAATTTGCCTACCAAGCCTGAGAACAGCATCCATGGAGGAGTCCGTTCGGTAGCCCAAAATACATACGACGGTGAAGGTGATAGAGTCAACTTGCGAGTAATCTTCGAAATGTTGCAGGCTCAACAAGCAGCGATAGCCCAGTTGCAAAACAGAGTCGCGCCCCCGACAGAGTCGAGCCCGAACTATCTCGAGAGAATGCTCGATGAAATGAACCGATCGTAGAAAGGTCGAGCGAAGTCGAACCCGGGACCAACCCCGAGATCATAAAGATGCTTGAGGAACTGACAAAACGAGTAGAATCGGGAGAAAAGAAAATTGAAGCCAATGACAAAAAGATAGAAACCTACAATTCCAGGGTCGACCAAATCCCAGAAGCACCACCGATATTGAAGGGCCTGGATTCCAAGAAGTTTGTTCAAAAACCTTTTCCTCCGAGCGCAGCTCCGAAGCCAATCCCAAAGAAGTTTTGCATGCCCGAGATTCCTAAGTACAACGGAACAACTGACCTAAATGAGTATGTGACATCCTACGCGTGCGCCATCAAAGGGAACGACTTGGAGGATGATGAGATCGAGTCCATCCTGCTGAAAAATTTCGAGGAAACTTTGTCAAAGGGAGCTATGATATGGTATCACAACTTACCCCCTAATTATATTGACTTGTTTGCTATGCTTGCAGACTCCTTCGTGAAAGCGCACGCCAGGGACATCAAGGTCGAGATTAGGAAGTTCGACCTTTTCAAAGTGAAACAGAGAGATAATAAGATGCTCAAGGAATTCGTGTCCCAGTTTCAAATGGAACGAATGGACCTGCCTTCAGTCGCGAATGATTGGGCCATTCAAGCCTTCACTCAAGGACTCAATACTCGAAGCTCATTGGCTTCACAACAGTTGAAGTAAAATCTGATAGAATATCCGGCGGTAACTTGGGCCGACGTCTATAACCAGTACCAATCAAATATCAGGGTCGAAGATGATCAGCTTGGGGCCCCTTCTGGGTCCGTTTACCCTATTAGAGCTGGTGACAGATCCAAAAGAGACATTGATCGTGAACCAAGATTGAATAGGGACCGGTATCAACCATACAATGCAGATCGAAGAGGTAATAGGTCTGGACGAAACCCTGTGAGAACTAAAAGGAGAAGCGACCGAAGTCAAAATAGTCGGGGTCTCATGAGCAAAAGAGATTTTGACATATCCGTCGGGCCTAAGGAAGCGCCAAGTCTATCGGAGTACAACTTCAACGTCGACGTTGCTGCCATCGTATCTGCCATCGGACGCATCAAAGACACGAAGTGGCCTCGACCTCAACTGTCCGACCCTACTCAAAGGGACCCCAACCTAATATGAAAGTATCATGGCACTCACGACCACAGAACTGAAGATTGTCGACTACTAGGAGAGGAGGTAGCCCGGTTATTCAACAACGAACACCTCCGGGAGTTCCTGAGCGATCGAGCCAGAAATCACTTCAGGAATAGGGACTCCAATAAGCAGACCGAGCAAGACGAACCTCAGCATGTCATCAATATGATCATTGGTAGGGTCGACGCCCCTAGGGACCGATGCTAAAACGTACCAAAGTGTCCATCACAAGGGAAAAACAGACTTGAGATTACATGCCAGAAGGAACCATATCTTTCAATGACGAGGACATTGAAGGCATCGTACAACTACACAATGATGCACTGGTAATATCTATACTCATAAATAAATCTTGAGTTAAGCGTGTGTTAATTGATCCAGGTAGCTCGGCCAATATAATCAGATTGAGGGTCATAGAACAGCTGGGTCTACAAGATCAAATTGTGTCAGCAGTATGAGTTCTAAACGGATTCAACATGGCATGTGAGACCACTAAAGGGGATATAACACTACCGGTGAACACCGTTGGAACCGTTTAGGAAACAAAGTTCTACGTGATTGAAGGAGATATGAGATACAATACTCTGTTCGGGAGGCCATGGACTCACAACATGAGGGCGGTACCCTCGACACTGCACCAGGTGTTCAAATTCCCAACGCTGG